GGAATATCTTGCCATGGCCACTGAGTGTGCACTCATTACATAATTAGTAAATATGTAGGTATGTATATGCGCACATGTATATATTATTACGTACATATTATGTATATTTGATATATTTATCAACCTAATTTTGGATGGCTATATTCTAATGGTGATGAAATTTAAGTTCCTTTTCAAACCACAGCCTAAAATAGTGCCTTTAATTAGTTTGAGGCGCTCTTTACAGGGAAAAAAGTAACTGCAGGTTCAGTGTTACCGCCTTTTTAATCAATAATCAGAAGGGTTTCATAACACCAGCACAAGTATTTCTAAAAGAAGGTCTCTACAGCAGCAGACAGACTTCGTTTTGAAAAGCTGTGCCACACCAGTAAGGAAAAAAAACTTTTGAAAAAAACTGTTAGTAGTATGACTAAGAGCAGCCCCACTCCACCCAACATCCACCCTTGCTAAATTCAAATACTCCAGCTGACAAGCAACCTTTCCGTGCTGTTTGCCAGCAGTTGCTTCAGTTTAGCTGCCTCCCTAGAACTGAAGGCGCATCTCTGAGTCAAGTTCGCAGATCTAAAGAGCCGGCAGCAGTTACTCCAGCATCAGTGAATCAGGAATTACCACCCAAAGGAGTCAGAAGTGCTGGGTGGCTCAGCTTTAAGAGACCCATCTTTTGTAGTGCCCGCACGTTTGGGTTTCAGCCTCTCTTGCTGACTCATGGATCGTGGGAGCAGTAGTTAGATGGAGGAGGAAAGAAGCAGCACAGAACTGCACACGGTACTCAGAGGGAAAGCAGAAAGGTGGAGGCTTGCAGGAGCAAACTGTCACCCCCTACCAGCAGAGGAGGCACACCTTTGCCAGCAGGGCACAGCAGGAAAGGCACGCTGATTTGGAGGCTTGTCTTCTCTACTTCCTGCAGCCTTCCAGGCAAGGAGGAAAGGATGAAGCTGCCAACCAGGCCACGGCTGCTAACGGGGAAAAAGACTCGAACGTAGAGAAGAAGTCGGCTAGGACAGGAAGAGCTTGCTTTCCTGGCATTAAAGGTTTATGTTAGCACAGCTCCCGAGCTACCTGTGGTACACTGTTTGATACGACTGGAACAATTTCAGTATAGCCACCGTGTGGCTGCCTTTATCACTCAGAGGCATTCCACCTCCCCCAGAAGCACCAGCTCCTCGTTAGGACAGCACAGCAATGAGATTTTGCTCATAACCTCCTCCGGGGAACTATTACCTAGCAGGACAGAGGGAGATTAAACAGCCTGGAGAACGAGCTTTATGGCCAGGCCCCAGGACGTGGTTCCCAAGTGAATCCAAAGGAGATTGAGACAAATGACAGCAGCACACACACTGACACCCTGCCACGCTAGGGCTAGTGGCAATCTTGTGTGGGGCACTGATTCTCATTTCCTGTGACAGGTTGCATAATTTCCACAAAGGTGAAGTTTCGGCAACTGAACTACGCCCATAACTGTAGAACAGCTTCTCTGAAAGACGGGGATTCTTAATACATTAAGGAATTAACTCAGATGATTCGTTCAGCTAATGTATCTTCAAATAACTTTCAAGCAAAGGCTTGAAAATTTTGACTGATTTAGAGAAAAATCCAGGTGGCATCACACAAGGAAGCATATACGTATTTCCAACACAATCCAAAGCACCCCTTGTACACGAGCCCGAACACAAATCAAGAAGCAAATTCAGCTACTTCCAAACCAGTCAAATTTAAATTCCAGTCTCCTAGCCCAATTTAAGATACATTTACCTCAAAAGTTGTTTATTTCCTTATAGACTTGCTTCTTCCTGTTCTCATGTTTGCAATACTAGACATAAAAACATGACATACTTTTTTTTTTTAAACCTAAGAGGAGCAAACCACTGAAGGTTATCTGCCGTGCAATTACTACTGCATTCCACACGTGCAGCTTCCTGCAGCCAGGACGCCCTGGGCATGCAGAGCAGTGTCCAGCACCCTGCACACTGCTGACACAGGTCTGTTCCACTCCTGCTGCACTGCAATATGGCTTTCACTATCAAAAGCACCTGGAATTCTGCTGCTCGTACACAGATTTATTCCAGGGCTTTGGTGCACGCTCAGGTCTGTTACGTCTGTCTTCAAATTTTTGTTTTATATGAGTTCACAATTGCTGCAAATTCATCTTGAGGCATCCCCAAGAAATCAACTTAACCTGACAAAGCCAATTTCTAGACATTCCTTCTCATTTCCTGTGAAGATTTCTTACCCCATAAAATCACCATATATATATATACACACACACACAGAAAACCCCAAATCTCAAAATGTCTCTTAAAGACCCCATGAAGAGTGTTTTTCCTTACCCAAAGCAGTAAGTTAAGTGAACACCATGCTTTTAAGAAGTTATTAGCTCAGCCCTTTATTTCTTCAGGTCATTCTCATTCTTTTTAACTTATCTTATGAATAGCTAAGCAGCACAACAAACAGGCATGAGCCTGAATTCTCAGCATCTCTGCAGTTACCTAGTGCAACACCGCATATGGATCACTCCAAACAAAACAGATCTCAAACACAATTGAGCATATCTCAAATGCCTCTGCACTTATAGCACCCATAGCCTGGTGCAGATGATCTCCTTCCTCATGGTAAGGCATGTAACAGTTGCAGAAGTTACAGCACTGACTTCCCCTACCCCAGGCGTTACACTTCACATATTCCCCAGCCAAGTTCCCAGTCCTACTCCTGACAAAGCAGCATACACGGATACTATTTCTTTCTCTCAAAAAAAAAGAAACCAGAAGAGAAAAAAATCCCCACTCACCAGCACGGTGGTGCAGATGGACCTGAGCTCAGACTCCACCTTCTCCCGATAGTCCTTGATAAGCTGCATCTTCTTGTCGCTGGTGTCTGTCTTCTGCTCGATGCTAGAGATGACCCTCCAGGCAGAGCGCCGCCCCCCCACCACGTTCTTGTAGGCCACTGAGAGCAGGTTGCGCTCCTCGTTGGACAGCTCGGCACCTTGCTCAGTTACTGCCTTCATGCAGGTGGCCATGTCATCGTAGCGCTCAGCTTGCTCAGCCAGCTTGGCTTTCTGGATCAACTCGGTCTTATCCATGGTGGCTGGCAGTGGGGCGGGAGAGGTATGGCAGCGAAGGCAGGAGAAGCTGGGGATGTCACGCTCCCAACGAGAGAACGCACCTCAAACCCTGCCAGAAAAAAAGGCAGCGACCGTGATCAAATGTTAATGAATGTTGTTGTGCATGACCCCTCGCAGAGCCCTAAAGAGGAGGAATGCAGGGAGTGTGTCTCCCTGCCCATCTCGCAGAAATGGGCTGGGATCATCACGCCCTTCCACGTAGGGCTGAGGGGAGCGGCTGCGCTCCCCAGGACCGGCTGCTGGGGAAAGGGCGGCCTGGAAATTCATCTAGGGAGCTGAGAGCCCACCGCTTGGGCGGGGCGGGCGTTTTCCCCTCACCTTTCCCTCGTGAGAGGGGGGCGAGGAGGCTCGGGAGGCTACCCAATTCCCGCAAGCCAAGCGGGCCTCGCTTAAAGCCACTCCCCGAGGGAAATAATAATTAAAAATAATAATAAGGAATGAAGGAGCGAGCCCAGCCTGGGGGCGGCTTCGCCTCCTGGCGGCGGGGCCGGGCAGGGCCGGCTTCCTCCCCCCCCACCCCGCTTCCCCCGGGCATCGCCCCGCAGGGCCGAGGAGCCCCTGAGGCAGCCGAGGGGGAGGGGGGGGAAAAGGCGCCGCGGGGCCACCGGGTGCGAAATGGCGGCGGCGGCGCCGGGCGGCACCTCCCTCCCCTCCCTCCCTGCCTCCCGCCCGCCGCCGCCGCCGCCGAGCGCCGCGCTCACAAAATGGAGGACGCTGAGGCGGGGCCGGGCCGGCGCCTCGCAACGGTCGCCCCAACGGTCGCCCCCAACGGTCGCCTCAACGGCCGCGGGGGGAGCCGGGCTCACCTGAGGGGCCGCTGCGCTGCGCTGAGGCGAGGCGAGGCGAGGCCGGGCCGGGCCGGGCGGGCGGCGGCGGCCGCGGGGCTGCCGGGCTGCGGGGCGCTGGCGGAGAGAAAGGAGCCGCTGCCGGGCCGGGAGGGGAGGGAGGGGAGGGAGGGCGGCGCACGCAAGCTTAGCGGCTGCTCGGCCCGCGCCCACGCGGCCAATCAGCGGCCGGGCTCGCCGCCAGGCCCCGCCCCCCCGCCGGTTGGCAGCCAATAGGAGCGCAGCGCGCCGCCGCCGCCGCCGCCGCCGCCCGCGGGGGCGAGAGCGGGCAGGGCGCAAAGCTCGGTTGGCCCGTGGGCTGCGGCTGGGGCCACGGGGTTTCCTCCAATGAGATGCAGGGTGAGATGACGTCACTGTCGCCATGGAGATGCTGCTACAACCCCCCCCCCCCCCCCCCCCCTCCCCCGGCCGGGCGGGGGCTGAGGGGCTGCCTGGGGGGGGGGGGCTGTGGGATTTGGGGTTTTTGTCCGAATACTCTTTTTTTTTTTTTTTTCCTTTTTTTTTTTTTTTTTTTGTCCCAGTTACCCCCGACAAAGGGCGTTTTGCTCCTTCGGGGCTCGGACAAAGTGCATATCCCCGGGGCGGCGGGTCTGCCACACGCCCCTGTTTGTCCCCCCCGCCATGGAGCCTGAGGGGCTTCTCCTCAGCAGCCTTCCTCGGGGACAGACCGTCCAAAGCCATTTGTAATCCACAGAGTCACAGAACCCACCACATCTAACCCCCCTCCCCCCCTCCTAGGATCCAGGGGACACGAAATTGTTCACAGCGAGTCAATGTCCCTGCCCTCCTGAGGGGATGAAGGGCAAGCGTTTGACATCAGCACCAATAGATATATTTACTTTTATCCCCCCCTCCTGCTTTCACCTGGCGTTAGTTTTGAAGAGGTCAGAGACGCAATGCACAGAGACCGGAATTTTAGGTTGAATAGTAAAATCCCGTCCAGTCAGGAGTGAATAATCATGAGTCAATCGCTGCTCCGCTTCCAAAACGCTGCTGGGACGGCTGCTTGCACTCAGACTGCCCCAGTCTTGGAAGAAATGATAACAGCATAGCGGGTTTGTGCTGCTCATCACCACATTCAGCATATGAGACCCAGGAGCGGATCACAGGCGTCCTGCCCCTCAGGCCTCGGGCTAGCTCAGGGTCACCAATGCCTTTGGTGAGGACATTTCTCACCTTTCCTTCCAGCATCGCCAAATTTAGTCATGTTCAGCAACTTCAGCATCCAGATGGGATGATGAATGCCATGAATCAACCCCAGGATGTTATCGTCTCAGCCCGTAAAGCTCTCGGTCTGTGTTTGGACTAGGGCTGGGATGATGCATGTGGAAATTGGGTCCATGCTGTGAACAAACCCCCGCCTTTGTAATTCAAGTCTGAGATGCATTCATTCTGTTAAAAAGAAAAAAAACAACACAACACACGATTGATAATACCCCTTTCAAAGTTAATGAAACTCTCACAGAAAGGATTTTGGAAATATATTACTCTATTCCAGAAATTACTGTCCTGGCAATTTGCTACAGTCTAAGGTCGCCTTTTTATTCTTCCTTGTCGCTAGGATATTCTCTCATATTCAAAACCCCAAGTCATCGCTTTTATTAACATGTGAAGGAAAGGCCCGAACTGACCAATTGTGCAACCAAACCTTGATTAATATCACGTCTCCATCAGGGATGAAACCAACCATTCTGTGTGTAAGGCACAGATGAGTGGATTTTAGCTCAGCACGGACAGCTCACCTAATCAAGGCTACCTCCTTCACTGATTCTGCTCAAAAATTGGGAAGACCTCAGTCTCTCATGCACTGTAGTTCAAACCCTCCCTCCCACCGACTGAAAACTTGCATTGAGAAATGCAAAACTGTCTTAAAAAGCTGGGAAGTGCTGGCTACAGAGGTCTGTGATGGATCTAGATGTACTGGCACGTGCCATGCAGTCACTGAACACTGCATGGCCCGAGCATCTACCTCCAGGCCTGCTACGTGCTCCAGCTGCTGCCTGGGCTTCTGTTCCATTTGGGGTCCTTTGGGGTTTTGTGTCTTAGTGTGATACGGTTTTAAAAGACGTAGCCATAATCTCGTTTCCCCAGAGGAACCCTATCTCTGAGTTGGATGATGACCTCTGGGAAGCTTTTATGAGAGGAGGCTGGAAGAATTTGCTGTGTTGATTTTAATAAAGGTTAAGAGGAGATTTGACATTGTCTCGAAAGGAGGGAAAACATGGCTGGAGAACTTTATTAAATTTGTAAATGGAAGACAAACGGGTCCAAAATGGGCATAGATGAATTTAGACTGGGAATTAGGAAATTTGGGACTTTCATGAGGTTATGGAATGACTTTTCTGCACAGAGGGCAGGAAGCCCAGCTGCTTTGAAAGAGGAACCTGATCAACCTATAAAAGTGCCTATGTGGTGTAGTCGCCAGAGGCAGTAGGAGACTGAACTTCAAGAGCTTTCCAATTCTTTGTTTCTATTTAATGTTTCTTTTAATGCTTATTCCATGTATACTTTAATGCACAGCTTACTGCACAGCACCACCCTCCATTGAAGAAAAAATATTAATTTCCATTAGAGCGTTTCAGGAATGCTGTCGTCCTGCTAAACATTAACGACTTTATCTGCATAATACCATTATGAAATGGGTGGCATTATCTTCTCTTATGTCCAGGAAAATAAAAATATCAACACTCCTTCGTGCCTCTGTGGAGAAATATAAGGCTTTCTCTTCCAGAGTGTTAAACATTAAATCAAGGACCTTTGCTTCTCCTTTCTGCCGCTTGATGTGCATTGAACGTCCACCTCCCATTGACTTCAGATGCACCTCCTGAAGTGCAGCATCTTGGCAGCTCGCTCTGCAAATTACCCAGTTGGGGTGGGGGAGCAATATGAGGAATGTATACAGTGCAAATTCCTGAGACTTACGTGTGAACTTTAGGATGGAGTCAGAACCCAGTTTTCCAAAGGTTCAGTTGTTTGCCATAACTATAAGACTGTTTGTAGTTGATTTTTGTCATATTTGCAAAGGCTTTGTGTTCTGGCAGTTACAGGGCTTCTCGTTTGTCCCCTTGCTACTTTATGTCCTCTTCTTTGCCCAATTACTTGTCTTCTAATTTGCACTGCTGTCCTCTTTGGTATCCTGCCTTCTGCTCAGCTCCTGCCCATTCTTCCCCCATCCTATTATTCCTATTATTCTTTCCTAATATTTTTTCCCTAGCTGTATTCTCTGCCCTTCTGTTCTTTTCTCAAATTTCAATAAAGCTTGTGGGCAGAAAAGAGAGCTTTCCTTGAGCATTTAGTAGTCTTACATGAGAACCGGAGAATGGAGTCTTAGGAAAATTTTGCTTGCAATTTTTAAGATATTATCTGAGAATATTGAAATTGAATTTTCTCTTTAGGTTTACTGTATTTGGGTAGTTTTCCTTGAAACCAGCAAAAGACACAACCTGAAACAGGCCAACTTCTTGGTGAGTTTAAAGGAGCCACTTTAGTGGTTGTAGATGTCGGAGCTCTTCGATTAAATGGTTAAAAAGTTTATTAGCATGGGCAAAATTGGAATTTCCTCTGATTTTCTCTGTGAGAAAAAAATCTAAACCATTTTATCTAAAGCATGAAAAGCATCCTAAGTGTGTCCATGCAGACCGAGCTCTATTTAAGTTTGCAGAGAGGAACTAACATGATGGCTACAACTTTTCCAGATCCAGTAAGACATTGCTTAGATTTATTTATATCCCACATGGTTGGGGGACTTCAGAACAAAGGAATAAGGAGAAGACCTGCTGTTGCACTATTGTATTTTGTGTTCATATTGCAAAGATGCTGCATAAGTGCTCTTCTACTTAAATTAAAAATAAAGGGTCACCCCTGTAGGAGGTTAACGCATCACATCCAGTAAGTAACAAATAAATGTGAGCTAGTGGGATCAAGCTCTTTAGACCTTATTCAGCACGACTCAATATTGTATCTGTACTGTGCTGTGAGGAAGGCCACAGGACTTATTAAATTTTGAAAATACTTGCATGGCTTGTTCATTACTGGGATAAACTAACTGTTTCAGGACAAGCCCTTAAAAGAAGTTGTTGAATATGTAGCTTATAATGGGTGCAGAGTTTATGCAAACTGTGTTCTGGTGGGAGAAGAGAAATCGAGGCATGTTTAGGTGAGGAAGGTGAGTGTCGGTGTGGGAGGCTGGTATTGAATTTCAATTTTGCTGCTGAGTGCCATTTGTCTGGCTTAGCTTGCTGCATGAAAAGTGTGTCTGTGCTGGGAGTCGTTTGGGCTTTGCTGCTGAAGGATGATATTGATGAATCCTGGTGTCTGCTGTAGGGATAAATGCTGCTGTAGTTGATAGACCGAAGCAGTTATTGATCATGGTTGGTAGCAAAATCTCAGCATTTGACACTTTCTTTTTTCATACCAGTGCAGTCGTTAATGTTAAATTCCATTTCTCTCCCTGGGGGTGAAATAGCTATCACGTTATCGCATACAGCAGTGTTCCTCTTCGTTCTGTCCTTCTGCGTTGTGTGGTGCTAAAGATTGGAAAAAGCTCTGGGGAGTACAGCCAGACCTCTTTTATCTGGGTGAGCTGCCTACCTCTGCCTTGAGACATCTTCCTTCCCTTCCCTTCCCTTCCCTTCCCTTCCCTTCCCTTCCCTTCCCTTCCCTTCCCTTCCCTTCCCTTCCCTTCCCTTCCCTTCCCTTCCTTCCCTTCCCTTCCCTTCCCTTCCCTTCCCTTCCCTTCCCTTCCCTTCCCTTCCCTTCCCTTCCCTTCCCTTCCCTTCCCCTTGTGAAGTGGCTCCAAGGCCCCAGGGCCTCCCTGTGCTACAATTGCCAGGAGAGGCTCGTGGAAGGAGTCCCACGGGGATTCCTCTCCAGGAACACCACACATGGGTCTAGTTAGACACAAAGCGTGTGCACATCTCCCTTGGGCCTCTCTTTTTTTTTTTTCCGTGGCTGTGTCCCATCAGTTGTGACTTGCAAGCAGGAGGACAGAGCAGCCAGCTGGGGTGAATGATGCCCATGCAAGTTGAGGTGTGCCTTTTTTTTTTAATGGAAATGAAACAAATAGTCTCTTAATGGTTTTCGTTTGGTTAAATGCAACTTGCTCTGCCAAAACACAATAAAGGGCCCACTTTTGCATGAACAAACAGGAGGAGCAAACGTGACTGAGACTGCCAAGGAAATTTTGTCCTCCTGAAGCTTCTCCTATGGGGAGGTAGCAGTAGGGCCCCAAGAATTAAGATAAATGCAGCTAATTTCCCTTTAATGGTGATTTGATTATACTTTCATTACAAGTAACTAGTTCCCTTTTCTAATTATATAGCTTGCTTTTATCCAAGAAAAATTACCCAGCCTATGGGAGCGGACCATCAAAGTCACTCATCTGTGAGCAGTTCGTTGTGGTGCTGGGAGACTGCGAGTTTTGGAAAACGTCTATATTGCACGAGGTACGTGAAGAGTGGCTAGCTCTTGGGCTGTTTGGCCACGGCAGATGAGGAAGCAGGCAGCGGGAATGGATGTGCACGGCAAAAAAGGGGCAGAGAGCACGAACCCTGCACCCATTTAGCACGTCTTTGAAGGAGAGAGGAGGAAGGAGAAGAGGGGAAGGGGGCGCTGAGGAATGAGACAGAAACGCCTGAGGGTGTGCTGCTATTTGGGAAGATTCATCAGCTGGTGGTTTAGTAAGCTCAGCGAGAGCTCTGTTTGACCTCTGTACTTCTGGCTTTTTATCCCCATCTCTTCCTCCCCCGGCAGCTGCCGTATAAGCAGGTTCTCCAGCGGCGTGGTGTGACATCAGTCACCCAGATTGTACAGTTGGGGCTGGGCAGGGGGCACGAGGATGTGGTTGGGAGCATGGGGAGGTTGCGAGAGAGCCTCAGGTCCCGCGGGCAGCTTGCTGCTGGCCACCCTAATTAGTCTGCTTCACTAAACCTGTGTGCCTGTGATGAGCTAGGGATGCAAGCAGGCAAAGCTGGTGCAGAGAGGCAATACCTCTTACTGGATCAATGAACAGCTGGGAAAATAGACAAGCATTTGGTCTGAAAGCATCCGTTCCCTGTGTAAGTGAAATCCATTCCTTTGCTCCATGCTGTATAACACTAAGGCTGGTAGATACTTGAAGGTCAGGTGCTCGTCTGTACTAGAACCATGCATTTATTTCAATTTTATGATTCCAGTGCAGGAAAACAAACCGAACTGGTAGGGAAATCATGAACAATTATACCCGTACAATTAGGTACCCTGGGGTAATTCCCCATGTGACAACTGTGCTAGAAAGAGAGGCACTTTTATTCTGAAGCAGTGACTACTAAGGGAGCACTAGCAGCAGAACTATAATTATCCGATCATTCCCAGTGTTGGCAAACCAAAAGAACGAAGGAAGTAAGGGAGAGGACAGAAAAGACAGGAATGCAAAGAAGGCAGACAAGTGGTTAACCAGCGATACCTGTGGGAAGATGCGGGGCAACCAGTCCTGTCTCGTGTGAACTTCATTGGTCAAAATCAAGGCTGTAGAAAGAATCAGATAAGAACTTTGTTTCAGGGTAAGATTTTTTTTCTCAAACTCAGTTTTGAAGCATTCTTCTGTCAGCTTAATGTGGCCTAATGGGTACGTATTGAATTTTTCCTTACAGGTTTGTAATGTGAAGATTCTCGGTTAGGAGTTTAATTAGGACTCGGTGCTGCCTTCCTTGTACAAAGATCTGAAATCTGAGGACTATGAAAAACATATTAGGTCTCTACCTAGCTATGATTATCTGCCTGATCAACAACAAGGATTTATATATGGAATGAAAGTATCCTTCAGGGGCAGAGGGGGATGGCATGCATATACGCATACATTTATCCATATTTTAGGCTGAAATGCTCCTTGACAAGCCCAGAACAGGACACTACATATGCATCCTTAACAACTGAATGCACTGTAGTGGTTAGCATACAACGTCTTCTACTTTACTGAAATATTTTATCCCTGGCACATGCCATAATTATAAGCAAGCTGCTTAATGATGGCCTGTGCTCATGCAAACTGTACCACTTAACTACTTGCATTAATATTGTAGGAAGCCTCAGATGCACGGGATGAGCAGCCATGGAGCTACAAGCAAGAAAAAAGCTCGACTAGTGGAAGAAGTATCTAGGCAATGAGTCGCCTCCTACATTAGTGGGATGAGCTTCCCTCTGGGAACTTTTGCCTTCTGGAGAAACCTAAATGAGAGAGATACTCCACTGCCCCACACCCTTCTTCTCTTCATGCACTGCTGCTGCTAAAGAGACTGTCAAGCTTCCTGTTGAGATAAAGAGCTATGCTTACAATGTGTAGCCCCAAACCAGCGAGATAACACGCTGCCGTTTGCTGTGTTAGGCAATGCCATTTCTGTAGCAGGGTGGTATTTCTGAATGGGGAGATTCAAACAGGGAACTGATCTGAGGGTGAGCGTGTGAGGAGTTTAATCTAAGGGTTTGAGATGTTCCGGATGGTAAAGAGCAATATTGGGAGTTTTCAGATCATTTTCCACGTACTAGAGACTTTCAAATAGAATACACAACTATAACTAAATTCCAGTATTTATTTCATCATGATAATTGAAGGGAAAGCTTTAGTATAAAAGATGATGCTAAATGTACAAAATATTCCATAAATCTCTGTCTTTCTGATGTCATAGATTGCCACTTTTCTTAGCTATTTTATTTAAAACTTTTCAAGTTCCCATTATGCTATTTATTATTTCATTGGGTTATTTAGATGTAAAGTGATTTTTTTTAAATTATCTCCAACACAAGAAATTTCTCAAAGTCAAAGTTTTATTGATCAGTAATTTTCCAGCAGCCTCTCCTTACGTTTCAGCAGATAACTCTGGACCAGGGCCAGCTGTTGTTTCCTGGCCTCAGTCCAATTTTTTCCCTGAAAATGAATACCCAAAACGTTCATCGTTCCCATACCATGGAATCAATGTGCATAATACAGAAAAAATGTCAGGCTTTATAATGCGATGCAGAAAATTAAACTCTAGTTACTATTCGTGAGTAGGTTTTCCTTCTTAGAATGCATAATTTAAAAAATATGTTGTGGCTGCTATTGTGGCTGTCACACTATCCCATACTGGAATCTGTGTCAGAATTATAAAAAACTGCTATATGAGAAGAGAACCTGGGCAGATATTTTCCTAGAACATGTCAGAAGCAAACTTTTTGTGAACAAATGAATAAAATTAATCCTTCTCAAGGCAACAGTCAATTTGTCCTTCTTCAGAACCACAAAAACCTGTGGCTTACACACATTGTTGCCCCAAATATATTGTGCCCAATGTGCCAAATGCATAATTTTCTTGTTTCTCTTAGATAGAAAATGGCAATCAACCATACCTGTCAAGCCTGGAAGGCCTTTCAGCTTGAAATGTTCTTAGTTGCTGGGACATCGCACAAAATATGATGTAGCTGGTGTACTAATAGGCTTTCTCTTTAGACCAGCACCTTGTTGTGTTCAGGTTTTTGAACTGTAAGGTAGTTATACCATTTAGATTGCTCATCTTGATTCCAAATATTGTTGCAAGAAAATGGTCCTTTTGTAAAGAAAGTTGACTGGATTTAAAATTCTTTAGGATTGGTGGTAGCTGCCCAGGTAAGATTTAGGCGTGGTGGTGGCAAACAGTCCACAGAGCAGTAATGTGAAATGGCAATGACTTATCTGACCAGCAGTTGTTTAAAATTAATTGGTTCTCCAGTTTTATGATAAGTTTACAAGGGAGTTAAGAACCCCTTTTGGAATCTTGTGGGAAAAAAATAATAATCATGCAGTAATTAAAACTACTTCATCAAAGCTTTACTGAACACGTATTTATTCTCACAGGTTAATAGAAGGATGTATCCTGGAAACGTCAAGTCTGTTTTCCAAGATCTTGTTAGGACATTTCCCAGAAATTTTGAGATAGGTTTCTCTGTTGTGGGTGTAGCTCCATGTTCCTACAATTTTAAGCAGAGTGGCCCGAGAGGACAATTCTCATCCCACTGCACCTCTGTAGGTGTCTTTTCCAGGATCCTTTAGCTGCAATATGAAACAAATTGAAATAGGTTGAACATAAGCCAAAGTCTAGAAATATGAGAGTGTTTGGATAAATATTCATTATGGCTGAAGTTTACTCCTAATGGACCAATGCAAAGACTATGTACTAATTAAGTGCAGGTTAAGTTCACTCAGGAGGCACCTAAGTGGTGATCAGGCCCTCACTGTAGTCCGTACATAGGGCTGATTTTTATACTGTCCAAACATCATTTGTCAGAGGGCTGACTTCTACAGATTTTCTCCTTTTACATCATTCATACTTTCATTTCGTACATTTTCCAGGTGGAGACGAATATGCTGTGTTGCTGATGCAATTGACTTTATTATTATTCTTGGCACACAGCAGCTTAATTGGTTTGAAGAAACAGTAGTTGCAGGGCCTGATAAGTAGGATGATTGTCATCAGGAGTCGTTTAGTGCTTTGCTATCACAGAACAAACTCCCTGTGACTCACACTAAAAGGAGAAGGCCAGATTTTCATGTGGCATACAGCAGAAGAAAATGTTGCCTGTTGTGAATGCGTGTGTCTTTTGTGTTTAATTAATTACTTTAAGATTTTTCTTACCCACTGTAAGTTTTGTATAATCCAATTCAGTCCAGCTTTGCATTTGAAATTCTTCTGTTATGCCTCTCTGGACACTTTCTGTTTGACATGTATCTCTGTGATGGGAAGATTGGAACAGGACACCAATCGCAAGGTGAGACTATATTGATTTAGGCAGTAGTTTAATGCTTTCAGTTATTTTTCCTCTGTCCAATACTTTCTCATACTTTGTCAGCTCTTTAGAGTGTTTCTGGACACTGTGCAAATGTTCTCATTTTGCTGACCACATCAATACTCCAGTGATTTCTTCCAAAGCTGTACTTCATAACATGGAGTATCCTCCTTTGCGGTGTGTGTGTTGTCCACTCAAACAGCAGTTGTTAGACCCGCATGCAGTTTTTCACAACCTTATCTCGGGCTTCCGTTTTGACTGTCAAATAACATTGTGTCACTTGTAAATTTGCCCTGCTCGCTCCCTTTTCCAGATCATTAGTCAAGACACTGAGCAGTAGTCTGCATCTTTGGTCACTGTGCAGTTAATCTTTGGCCTCAGTTAAAGTAAAGCATGTTCTCCCAGCTTTTTGCCTACACCAGTGACAATGGCAAAAACTGATAGGGCAGCTAAGAAATCTTCTTGTCCCTGTAGGCCATAGCATTGGTTGAAATTTGAACCCGTTTGGATAAAAGATTATGCGGCAAGCACCCGTGGTGGCCTCAGAATCTCCCTTGGTGGGTGTTTCCTCTGTTATTCAGAGCCATGCAGTAGTTGTTGCCCATAATCTACCCACCAAATTGCCACCAGTTGGCAGATGAATTCTCGTATGGGAGGTGAAATGTGGGCTAAGCCCATGGGTGCATGTTCTGCTCTCTAAAATGGGCTCAATCCTGCCTGGTGCACTGAGGATCGTACACAGTCGACCAGGTTGCACCGGGATCAATGTAAGGCTTTCTATGCCTTTTTTTTTTTTTTTCTCTTTCTCTCATCAATCTTTCTAGTTATTAACAGAAAGGGTATTTCCGCACATAGCTTGTCATCACTGCGGTTCATTCGACAAGCCTGGGGTAGTACGAAAGTCCCACAACCCCTGGAAACTCAGCTCTCTTCTTTGTTGGCAATGCGATATTCCCAGGGCTTGCACCTAGGATGACTAAATCCTGGCACCTCTTCCATTCCCAAACGATTGCCTGGCCCCTACTCAGCGAGGGGCTTTCCACAGGTCTCGTGCTGCTGAAATATTGATGCTGCTTCATTGCAAAAGAGCTGCTTAATGCCCATGTTTAAGTGTGAGAGCCTCGTGTGAGACGTTCCCTTCTTTCACTCGTGTCGTCCCTCGGATGCTCAGAGGTGGCTCGTGGAAGGAGCGGGTTGGGCTGGGAGGGAAGAGAGGTGTGAGCAGATGGAGAAAAATGGGATCGGATATCAGAATGCCAGGGTGGGATTCCCAGCTGAGAAATCTGAACAAAAAGAAGCGTTTCATTAGCTGGAAATAGATGGTTATGTCTAGTCCAATTTGGCAGGGGAGATCTGCTTTTCGACACTTTGCTAAGGCAGCTTCTGAGGGAGCCACTCCTGCCGGCCTCTCTCTCCTCTCAGGTTTGCCTTTAATTACAAACCGTAGAGGTGGGTGCCTTTGGGGAGGCAGTACGAGGGATGTTGGAAGGCCCTGTGCTTGCTCACAACACCAAGTCCTGTGCACACATCAAGTCAGGAGCCTACCTGGTTGGCACCTTCTGCTTCAAACGCTGTGAGTGAACCTTGCGATCCACCCAAGCTGCCTGCACAAGCATAGCCTAAGCCCCCTCCTATAAGCGAGCCTATTTGGACCTCCCTCCTTCACCAAGGCAGCCTCAGCACCTGTTAATCCCTAAATACACGACTTTATACTCCAGGATCTTCGTTTTTATCCTGCCTGTGTTACTTTTTAGCCCACTCGTATAACAACCTGCTCTTCCTCTGCATTGTGAGCCTTTGAATCTTCGTGATACGCTCTAGTTTCATTAGCATGTTTTCATTTTCTTCTGCCAAGGTCGTTAATGAAAGTATTAAATAAGATCTGTTCCAAGGTCCCAGGCTTGAAGAAGCCCTAATTGGTTGTGCAGGGTCTGTTTTGTAGATAAACAAAGGACGCGGCACAGATCCTCACGGGAGCCAATCAGCCTAATCCCGGTGACTTCTGGAGAGTTATTCTGGTTATTTGGGGGATTCTGCTTCATTTCAGTCTTTTTCCTGCACACAGATAGCAAAATAGCCCCTTGTCCTATGGCCCGGGTAGCTTTATAAGGACAACGAGACGATTTGGAAGAAGCCGTGGTTAGATGGCTAACACCAATGTGGAGGTAGAGGCAAGACAAAAATGCCAGTGTCTGACTGCCGCGTGCATTTTGCAAGCCACTTTGTGAGGCCAAAAAAATAGAGAGGGTCTTGTGTGGTTGTGGGAAGAGGCAGGGGATGCACCAGCTGAGAGCCCTGAATAGCGATATAAGGAGGCCTCACAGAGAGGCTGTGTGCTCTCAGGGGCATGGAGTCAGAAACGTATTGTGCTCCTGGGGTGACTCAAACAGCCACTTGTGAAAAATAGATATGCCTTTGTACAAAGCATTAGTCAAGCTTATTGCATGGCTTCTTGTGTGTGGGGTACCATTATCATGATTCATGTGGACGTTTTACCTTATTTTACGTGCAAAATTAATCGCACTTTCTGTGGAAAGGACAGACATTTTCAGTGATCTTTGTAATAAATAACACAGAGTACATTGAGCTAAACATTGAGCAAAAACTAGCATTAAGCATTTGAAAGCTGTTAGGAATATTAAAGGCAATGGGCTCCAGGGGGCTTGTCTGCCTCTCCGTGATCCCCAAAAGCTGATGGGCTGTACTGTACCAGCCCTTCTCCTTCCCTGTTCTGTCTCTTTTTATTATCCTGATGCTCTGGGGAAACAAAAAGAAGAACAAGAAGTTACTTTCCAGCTCATAGAGATTACCTCTGTGCAGTTTTCCTTTTCCTTTTCTTCAGGTTTGCATCTCCATTCTCACAGAGACTTTACAGACCTAAACAAATCTGAAGTTACAAGGGTTTCATTTTCCCAAGTATTTGCTGGTCCCCTGGGCCTGCCGTACAAAGGCAGTGCCTTGCTCTTCTGATAAAGCAAAGAGAAATTTATTAAACACAGCTTAGATTATTAGTTATCCAGGGAAGGAGCAGGAGGCTTGAGGGCTGTTAGCTGGAGAGATATTTTGGGATATGTGTGTGTGTATCCCTGTTAGGAAGGTTGATGGCTGCTTTAATACGGGGTAGCAAAGTGCAAAAAGAGGCAAATTAGTAAGTGGGCACCTCTAGGGCTGTCCTCAGTTTGAAGGAAGGCCCTGTCAAGCATGTTGCCAGCAGGCAAAATCAAATTTTAATAAGGACAGAGTGGAAAAAAATACATTCTAGTCCCCCAAAATCGTGCCCCCAGACTAGACACAAGCAGCCCTCCACCCAGCGCGAGCAGCGCAGTCTCCGTGCTGTTGGAGAGCACCACGTTTGGCATAGGTTCATGCAATTCCAGCAGGTCAGCGTGAAGCACACTGCAAAATGACAGGAAAGCTGCAAAGAATTCCCTATAGCAACTCTCAGAATT